TCCTCTTAGGCAAAATAACAACACAGAAATACAAAAGCAAGATCACATCAATACTATAAAAACTTAGTTGAAAGAGTTGCACAAGACTGACATGAAAGTTAAGAAGACTCAAACAGTTCAAATTAGTTGCACAAAAAATTGTACAGGATAAAACAGAAGACAGGAATCAGGAAGGCTAGAGAAAACCTAAAAAAAATCCATTGTGAGAAATGCAAAAGAAATTATTTATTAAAATTAGGATCCCAGATGACAGTGATAGATTTTGCAGACTTGCGAAGAGGAAAGGCAGCTATAAACAATGAAGGTGACATTTCAGAGAAGCTGGAAGATTCCTCAGTAGCAACATTCACCACAAATGATGTTAAGAAGATATTTACCCTTCATCACTTCCTCTAGTCAATAAAGATGAAACATTACCAAAAACTGAAGAGCCTGTAACAGAATTATAGAACAGTTTGGGTTACAAGGGACCTTAAATATCATCTAGCTCCAATACCTTACACTAGATCAGGTTGCTCCAACCCCATCTAACCCAGCTTGAACCCTGCCGCATAATAATGTATAATTTTCTACCTAAATCTGTGTAATTGTCCGCTTACAGGAGCACTTCCTTCAAAGCTAAGCACAGGATGAAAAAGACAAGCAGACTGCAGCCCTTTAAGCTACAACAAAAGGCAAATATTACCTACTTTGAGGCAGGGTATATTGAAAGATTTTAAGCTTTTGTCCAATAAAAGTGATAGGCTAATAATTAAGGTAAGATGAAAATCCTGTGTATATAGTAAGAAGCAGCAACAAGGACACCCAATAAATTACTGTACCTCTGTGACACAATATTAATATAACACTGTGCCACGACAGCTATTATGTTTCCTGTTACAATGCTAGCTCAGCCGGCACTGCATAAGTTCTTGCAACATAGTGTATTGCAGAGAAGATACACATAAAAGTTTTTGAGGCTTTCAGGGTGTAGATGAATCTGTCAATTCACCAGGACCAGATAGCAGTGTCTCTCTTTAACTCTCTAAGTTGATTGCCGTGGGTCTCCACCAGAAGAAAAGCAATCAAGTGCTGCACCATGGGCAAACCTTCAACTATAGCAGTTAAAAATTTGGTGGACACAAAACCTCTCAGCATAAAACAAAGGTCTTGAGTTATAAGCAGTTCCTTTGCCTTTTCAACTCAAACAATAACAGCTGTCTTATTTTTTTCTGAAGTATTGGGAGTTCACTTTGACAAAACTAAGAACTCAGCAGACTTTCTGGCCAGTAGTCCCTCTGTGTACTTGAGAACCGCCAAGATGAAAAGCACCAAGAACCAGGTCCTCACTTTATAAAGGCATGTTAAGCTACAAAGCCGCTGACTAGAATGTATCTGTTGTGTCATCTCACGATTTCTGTTCTCAAGCCATGATGTGATATGATATGATATGCTTGGAAGACATGGATCAGAAAGTAAAATGCTATTTTTGCAAGAAAAGACATTTGAAGAAGAAAGGCGTTTGGAAAATTGGCAAAGCTGCAGAAATATAAGTAATTTGAAAAAAAGAATTGGAGTAACTGAGCTAGTTGAAACAGATTGCCTATGAATAAAAGAAAACACTTGGATCTGTGTGCCCTACAAAAAAGAAAATAAATAATCAGGACATTTATTCATTTTGAAGGGAGCAATGATGCAAAAGGTAGGGTCTTGACAAAACCAGCAATGTTAACACAAAAATGAAAGTCACAAACATTAGTGGGTAATTGGATAAATTGCCAGACATGAACTAAAAAATATCTAGGTAAAAGAAAAATTAACAAAGTAATTTGTCAAAGAGGTGGAGCAAAAAAGATCAAGAGTGTGTCAAACCTATGAATGCCTGGAAAAGGTTTTGTTTTAACAAGGGTGGGAGGAAAACTTCTCTGTAGCAATTGCAACGAAAACTAACAGAAGCGTTACAGAAAATGCCAGAGCTTAGCTGTTCCATAATTTTTCCTTAGGAAAGCTCCTCCCCAAGGTACTGAATGACAGAACATCCATTAATGTATGTCTCAACATGAGAGTATTTTTGCTAGTCATTTGTTGGGGGAAGGAGAAAGAGGAGGAGGATGAGACACAACATTTACTTGTTTATGTAATTCCTTCCAATGCACTCATGTTTAAACTATGCCAGTTTGCACTGGGACAGAAAATCTGTGGAACACAGCTGATACTAAGCACATTTATTCTGTCTTTTTTATATCAGCTGAATTCTCTTTGGTAAAGAACATTCTTGTCCTTTCAGTCAAAATCATAGCTCTAGATCATGGTCTGTACATGACACTTGGACTGTATTCAACAGCCAAGTTGTCTTAGCGATACACCACAAAAGACAATTAGATTAGATTAGATTAGATTAGACTAGGCTAGACTAGAATAGAATAGAATATAACAGACTAGACTAGAATAGAATAAAGTTAAAATAAATTATGGGAAGAAAGTGTTTGACAATACCAAATGGAGTCAACATTTTGAAGGACAATTTCAAACCAACTTCAAATATGTCCTTATTGCTATAACAATATATTGAAGCAAATTAGAAGCAAAAGAAGAAGCAGAATACATTCAGATACCAAAGACTTTAGCTACAATGAAAACAAGGTTTACCTCACTCACTAGTTTACATTAAAAAGAACACGGAACATCACTTTTTTTTCCAGAATGTAACTGCTTTTTATTTCAAATCATTATTAAAACCTACTTATACTTTCATATACAAAATGTAAAATCAATCAATAAATAACTGACATTGTACATTTTGTTGCTTTGAAAACACAAATATTTAACATGAAATAATTAACCCATATTTTGTCAAATAATTACGGAGTGTGAGGGATGAAATTAAAATATTTTTTTTAAGAACCTGACATAAAAGTTCATGTTTCAACTAGCAAAGAGCAGAGTGTTTTTAGGTAGTCATCCTTTTTGACATTTTTGAGTTTAAAAAAAAATATCAATACATCATTAGACACTGAAATTTTGCAAAAGACTTTTTGCAATATAAATCTTTCTAGTCAACCTTTTCAAAAATCTGAGTAAAATTTCTGATTATACAATAAGTCAGACTCCCTGTAAATGAAATACTAAATGAATAAATAGAATTTAAGCATGCTTGGGTTTCATTTGCTCTTTCATCTATTCTTGCAGTAGTAGAGCCCTCATTTGGATACAAAAGAGAAGGGACTAAATGTGCAAAACCTGTCCATATTTTCAGAAGAACACTATATTTTTCTGAATACATTTTACAAGTTGCCAATGGTAAGGTAGATGACAAGCATATTGAAAAAAAAAATGGTTAGTGCTCCTCTTCAGCAAGACATGAACTGAGGTACAAATCTTCACTTGAACATGACTACTAGCAAAATTTCCTTTTTAACATTATTTAGGGGAAGCACATATTTGCACACAATAAAGCCCACTGAAAACTTCCAGAAAGTTTCTGACTATCCCAGGCATACTCCTCAAAAGATTAACAAGTGTTCCTGAAGTTTTCAATAGCTTCTATCAGGAAAATATTCAGTAATACAATAAGCCAACTTACTGCTACTTATTTTTAACTCGTTCTGACATCAGATCTAGTCTCAGGTTATAATTTTATATATATAAAGAACAATTCTAGACTTTAAGCACGATCTGCTTTTCAGCAAAGAAGAAGAATGAAACAAATATCATTTGGGTTGTTAAAGTGTTGGTGGATAATAGAAGAGCAACTGATGTCATCTTGATGTCATCTGGACTTGTGCAAATCATTTGATACTGTCCTGCAATGACATCCTTGTCTCTAAACTTTGATGGATGGACCACTTGGTGGATAAGGAGTCAGCTGGACGGTAGCCCTCAAAGACTTGGTTCAATGTCTAAATGGAGACCAGCAATGAGTGGTGCTCTTCAGGGGTCAGTGTTGGTACCGGCACTGATCAACATCTTTCCTAGTGACATGGACAGTGGGATTGACGTGCCCTCAGCAAGTTTGCTGGTGACACCAAGCTGTGTGGTGCAGTCAACAAACTGAAGAGAAGAGATGCCATCCAGAGGGACCTTGACAGCCTGGAGAGGTGGGCCTGTGTGAACATCATGAAGTTCAACAAAGCCAGGTGCAAGGTGCTGCACCTGGTTTGGGGCAATCCCAAGCACAAACACAGGCTGGGTGGAGAGTGGATTGAAAGCAGCCCTGCAGAGAAGGACTTGGGGGTGTTGACTGATGAGAAGCTGAACATGAGCTAGTTTCAGCGTGTGCTCACAGCCCAGAAACCCACTGTGTGATGGGCTGCATCAGCAGGTCAAGGGAGGTGATTCTGCCCCCCTGCTCTCATGAGACCCCACCCACAGTACTGTGTCCAGCTCTGTGGCACCCAGCAGAAAGAGAACGTGGGCATGCTGGAGCAAGACCAGAGGAGGACCATGAAGATGATCAGAGGGCTGAAGCATCTCTCCTGTGAAGACAGGCTGAGAGAGCCTGGCTTGCTCAGCCTGGAGAAGAGAAAGCTGCAGCCCTGAAATACCTAGGGGGTCTGCAAGAAAAGCGGAGAGGGACTTTTTACAAGTACATGTAGTGACAGGACAAGAGGGAATGGCTTTAAGATAAAAGAAGGGAGATTTAGATTAGATACTAGGAAAAAAATCTTCCCTGTGAGGGTGGTGAGGCACTGGAACAGGTCTCTCAGACAAGTTGTGGATGTCCCATCCCTGGAAGTGTTCAAGGCCAGGTTGGACAGGGCCTTGAGCAGCCTGGTCTAGTAAAAGGTGCCCATGGCAAGAGTATTGGAGCTAGATGATCTTTAAGGTCAAAACCATTCTGTGATTCAATTCTGTGACATATTAGCAAATTGAACTTTCTCCGACTGAATTACGTTTCTCTCATAACAAGATGCAAATGGCAGCTTCTTTCAGCTCTGATAAGCTGAAACTTAAAGCTACAGGGCAGAAGACAAGATTGTGAAGTTACATAGCTCTATAGCCAACATTACCCATGAGTGTAGTATCTTTTGTTCCCTAGGGGGCTGTAGCTCACAGCAGATTTTTAGTTTCAAATGTAAGTAAGGTCACCTTAAAGTAAGGTCAGCTACAAGCTTCAGAATATGAGACAAAACACAGCACAGCTTCTAGGACTCGCAATGCCGGTAGACATTTCTGCCCCTCCTCACCCTTGCTCTCTGATGCAGCCTTGTGCAATTATGGTGGCATTTTTATTAGCCAGCCTCCAAAAGCAAAATGGGAGCACAGTAGTCAGTAAGCAGCATTTGCAATTTTCATTACAGCTACACAGACATGCTGAAATAATGATTCCTGGCAATATGTTAGCAAAACATTAGAAAGACTTTAGTGAGCAAATAATTTAATTACATCCTTTTTTCAAGCAGTTTGTATTACACGACCCCTGACCTTTTATATTACTGTGCCTAAGCTCAGCATGAGATTCACATTTCCAATTCCTGTCACAGAATCTCTCCATCTTGTACCATTTAATATAGTGTGCTCCAGGTGTTCTGTGGTGAATGAATAGTTATATTACTACCTGTCAGACACAATCACACTCTATTCATCATCCGCGGCTGGCTGCGTGAAGCCCTGCTTCCAGGAGGCTCCCTCTCTATTTCCTTGTTCAAATGTCTGCAGTGCTTTCGGCCCATCTATCAAGCCTGTCATTTAGAGGGAAAACAGTATCAGCGCTTTAAATATATGGCGTTCTTTATTGAAACAGTGCTGTGATTGAACTGTCAGCATTCCCAGTATCACAGACAGTAATTCATGGCTGGTCAGAGCTCCATTTAGGTTGCTATTACTACGCTGACCTTGCTGGGTCACACTGAGAGTTTTTTCCCTTTGCAGTTAAGTCTATAAATAGTACAATTAACCTTTCAAGAACTACAGATTGTTTTCGATTCCCCTCCTCCACAAATTCACTTGCTGTTTGCGGCATTTACAATAATCAAGGCAGAAAAAAAAGTGTTCAACAGCAAAGGGCATTTCTCCCTTCTGAAATATCAGTGAAAAACAAATACTGTAACACCTCTAGTCCTGCAACCCTTTCTCAGGCAAAGTTTACATGGCACCATGCCTCAAGTTCCACTTTTCTGAATTCAAACCTAACATCTCAAAGTACTCAAAATATAACACATCTCAATTAAGCCCCTCTGCTTGTGCTACAGTAAAACTTTATGCTTTATGGATTTCTTTTTGTTACATATTTGAATGCAAAATACCGAAACAGAATAATTTAAAAAAAAAAAAAAAAGTCATTGCAAAATGACAAAAATGTGCTTCTTAAGCACATGCAGTTCCTGGTCAGTTTTGCAAGAGTACCCTTTGGTTTCAGAAAAACATGGAACAGGAAAAATCTCAGTAGACCAGAAGTTCGTGAGATAATTCCATCCAGTAAAGACTAATCTGAGTAGTTTACATGTCATTTATCAGCCAGTGAATCTCTAGAGCTCAAAACATTTTAAATAGTTGGCTTTCACTTGCACTTTAGTAAAAAAAGCAGTGACAGTAAGCTCATGTGATCCAGTACTGGAAACACATCAAAAGTCCTCTGAATTTTGAGGTTTCTGAATTACTAAACAATATAGTGCCCCTTTAATAAATATATGCCTGGGTCTAAGTCTGGGTTTCCATCCTCATCCACAGTCTTTTTCATTAGTTCGACCATGATCCTGGGGCTGAATAGTCTCAACACAGCATCTCAGAATCTCTCCATCTGGAGGGGGGCCAGCAACACCAGCCAAGAGAGACTCTGAATACTTGTGAGTTGTAAAAAGTTTAAGAGAGGAATCAGAGGTTAGTTCAAGTCACCGGGGGAACAGAGCAGTGTGGAGAAGAATGTGCTCCAGCTGCTTCCTTCAGCCTAAGACTAAAAGCCCTAATTTGATCACAACAGTCATTTCTCAGTAGGCTTGCTGTAGTAAAGCTTAGGGCTCCAGCCTTGATAACATTTTTAGATGTAAACATGGTCTTGTCACTGTTCCTGGGAAGGTGTCTGGACTTTTGTGATTGCAGCCAAATATACATAACCATGCTAGCTAACCCCAGGTAATTAATGAGATTTCCATTCAGAAAATCATTCACAAGACTTTTTTTTTTTTTTTTTTTATACATAACTTAAATGTAATTGTGCTTACCAACACTAATGTAGGCAATTTTAAAAATTCAGATAATACATTTTCTCAACAATCATCTAAGCTGCATGATTCATTGGAAAACCCCTTCCCAAGTATGTATTATATATAGCTGCAAAGAATATCATGCTGCAAATGTGCAAGAAACACAAGTGGCATGTAGAAGACTCGAACAAAGCAAAATTATTTAGTATACGAACATAGAAAGGCAGCAGAGAAAAAAGCAACAAGGTCTTTTCAAGGCAATATTATCTTCTTATTACAGACACAGAGTGAAATTAATTATGTAACTTCAGCCAGTCTGAATATTTTGGAATCTGAAAGAAAGATACAGCAGCATAAATCACTCCCTGTCTTGTTAGCAGTTTCCTGAATGTCTCTTTTTTAGTTTTTCTATAATGAATGCAAATGTCACAGCTTATTACAGCTACTGAATAAGTATAATTAGGAAATAATTTCATCTAGTTTCTCTTTTCTTTGAGAGAGTTATAAAACAGAGACACAGAACAGTGTCCTCGTTGTTGGATTTAGCATTTTTAATGAATAGTTCAGTATCTGTCTGCCCTCAGTTTGAAGGCAAAAGCTTTTACTTATTATAGCTACAGAATAAGTGTAAGTCTCATCTCATTAACTGTCATATTACGATGCTCTATGCCATACCATTCAAGTTTCACTGAGCATTCAGAATTGCTTAATTACATATAGTAAAAACAGTCTGCTGAGACTTTCCCTTTAAGATTATTATGTAGGCGTAAAGACAGAGGTCATCTTCATGACTCACTTTTGCTTGCCACTGCACTAACTCAAAATGACAGAGGCCTTTTGTTAGAGACAAAAACTGTAATGAGCATTTGAAAAATAAAGTGTTTACGTCTAAGAGACACTTTTGGTTTTTCAGACCAACAATTCTTTCTCTCCCCCCTTTCTCTCTGTGTTGGTGTTAAAACACATAGTACATTTCTTATGAATTATACCACCCTATGATAATTATAGTGTGTTGACACTGCTTGTCATTACTAAATCTACTGCATGCTTTGTGTGCTCAGTTTTCAATAGCTATTTGTTCCACGAAATGTGGAAAAGCCATACAAGATATTGAGACTGGTCATTGCTCACATCTTTCTTTTAGCCTTACTATTTTGCTCTATTTTTAAACCAAATACACACACAAATCCCAGTTGTGTGGTCTGCATTCCAAAAATGCCACTGTCCACAGCTGAAATGTCCTTACTGGGAATCTCACATTTCTGTCAGAAACTCCTTGCTCCTTCACCCCCACCTCTCCCACAACAGAATTCCTAAAGGTTTTAGATATCATGCATATGCCATAGATATGCCACTCACAGTCATGTATAAGCACCCATACACATAGTGTGCATATAAGCACCCATACTGCTTATCTCTGTTTTCCAATGAAAAACTCAGAATGTGTATTTTCTCAAAAACAAAATCTTTGTCTCTCAATCACTTTCCAGAGCTACACACTGCAAGTGGAAGAAGGAATCCAATATGGTTAATCAGCCAGTATGCTGCATTCTTAGAAAATAAATAAATGACTGTTATTCATCCAGTAATTTTTTATGCTATATTTCTTCGGAAAACACAACATCAATTTGCGTAAAATGTAGACTTTCTTGAACACAAAGAAATCCTAGCAATCTCACTTATACAATCTTGTCTTATTTGCAAAGTAATATATGCATCTACGTTTGAAGAAAAAGATGTGTCTAAACATCATAGAAAAACCTCCAGTGTTTTTCTGAAGTTTTGGAAATGCAATCTTATTTCAATATATTAATGGATTTTCTGGTTTTCCAGCTGCATTACTTGGCTTAACCAATCTCCACAAACTTTTCCTCACAGTTTTAGATAAACACAACTATAATACAGTCATTACAGGGTACATTTATTCTGTGTTACCAGTCAGAGAAGATTTTGAAAGACTGTCACCTTGTCAGGGAAGAACCAACGCATTGCTGTTACTTGTAATAACTATTAGCTTTAAGAACCTGGATAGAAAAAACAATTTGACAGCTTTGTTTTTTCAGACATATCTGCCTTTCAATATTTTAACAGCATAATCCACCTCCTCATGGATTTACACACAATTGTAGACACTGAAAAATACTCTGAAATGACGGAAAGAGCTGATGTTGCTCTATTATCATTACACTATGCTACAAATTGCAACATTCCTGCATCACAACCTTAGAAGGCTATTTACAACCTACCATTGGATAAAGGTCATCTGAATACTTGTAACCAACAAGGCCATCACTGTTAAAATAAACTGGGCTTCAGTATACTCTGAGTGATGATTTACAGAACTCTAGAACTACGTCAAGCTATTACACAAGCGTTGATACTGGCTCATTATCTACATGCTCATTTGACTTGTAACATGGTATATTTTCCCTATTGACTCATTAATATCAAAAATGACACAAACTTTAAGACTCATATTGAGGGTAAACTGTAAAAGGGTGGTAAAGACCAAACGAGGCAATTTCAGGAAAGTTCAGTATTAACAAGTGAATAAATAATTGAGGTAATTGCCAAAAAAGCATATTAGCTTACACCTTTAACTTCCCAGCTGAGTTCAGTCAGTCATTAAGGGGCAAAGAGAATTCCTTCTAAACTCCGTTATAAAATGGAGAGAAAAAGAAGGAAAGGACTGGCACATGAACTACAAAAGGAAGACTGCTAACAACTTCACCTTTTTAAAGGCTGAAGGGACATTTTCAACAAAGACCTGACTGGACAGGTAGGAGTCTGGAGAAAAAGACCCAATACAATACCAGATAAAAAATGCTGGCAGTTTCAGTAACTGCCTTCTGGACAACACAAGAGGTACACTGGTGCTGCAGAGTGTTCTTTTGGTTCTTTTCCTACAGCTACATTTTGTGAGATAAAGGGTAGTGAACATGTAGTTAGTTTGTGCTTATATTCCCCACCTTTAAAATTATTTGTGCCAAGACATAACAGGGTCTTGGGCTGTATTTGACCTAAATAGTGTAAAAGTTGCAAGTACCCCCAAATTGCTTCTGGAAAACATTGTTTTGAACAAAAACAGGGATTACAGC